AACAATTTTTAAAAATTTGCAATTATACTAATCGTTACAAGAAATTACAATTTTTTCATGAATTATGTGTAAGTCACATTTTACTTATTGACTATATTTACACACGATTAACACTATATATTAACCCATTYTTTAACTAATTAGGTTAATTATTCCCCACCTAAAGCTTTTAAAAGTAAAACAGATATCTACAGCTCATTTCTTATGTCACTTAAAAGTAAATTAAAACTATAAGCTTCCCAATTACCACACTTGATAATTATTCTTTTTTATTGTGTGTAATTTARGGTTTACAATTGTAAATTTTTTATTGGCTAATATTTTATGACAGTTACGAATGTTATAAAAAATTAATCTATTTATTTATTAAATTAAAAAATACTTGCAATTATTAAATAAATTGTTTAAAATTGATTTATTTGAAATCAATAATTTAGTAACATTTATTCGAACAATGCATTTTACTGAAAGTTTTGTTGTATGTTTCAGTATGCGGTATTGTTTCCCCAACTCCTAAAAGCCTCGTCGTAGGTTCATATGGCTATTTATCTACACTTTCACAAATTCCATGGCACGCTACTTTATACGCAGAAAACACTCCAAACGGATTGAAAMATTTTGTTTGCGGAGCAACAATAGTAAAAGAAAACTTCCTTCTTACCGCAGCACATTGCGTCTACGATGATACATATCGAAGGATAGAGAACCCAAATAAATATTATGTAGAAACTGGACACATTTATCGTGACTATATTTATAACCTGCACGATGAGAAATTCGTTAAAAAATCCAGAGTATGGAAAATGCAATAGAACAAAATTTTCATTAAAATAAAATAAAATATTTATTTCGAAAATAGTTAATACGCTGCTCATACATCAATTCTCTAACAAAGTAATAAATATTCTTTTTTTCAGGTGAAAGGTATTTATGTTCCTTGTAATTATGTGGGCTACGAGGGAAATTATGCTAATGACATAGCTATTTTGGAAATCGAAAGGCTATTTGTACTGTCACTTTCTTTAAAACCGGCGTGTTTAAATGGTGATTT